CTGGTGGAGTTCTTGATTTCATCCAGGCAACATTCATCCAGTCCTTACCCTCTGTGAGGCACTGTTGGATGCAGCAGTGAAAATGACTTAGTCCTCTGTCTTTGGGATTTGACCATCTGCATCTTCAGGATTCAGCCTTGGCAGGTGGGCTGCACAAGAACTGTCTTGACATTGGACTTTCATATTCAAGCTTTCTTTCTGCAGCAATGTTCTCTACCCTGAGAAATTGTCTTCAAGGAGCTTCCTGAGTGGAAAATAACAAGAGTTTCCACCATATCAATCTCCTTTCTCTGTGAGAACTGACTCCAGTTGTGAAAATGAGCATTTTTGCCAGCCTGGGAGCATTATCTCCAAGGTACAAGACATAGTAACGCAGCAGTGGATGCTTGAGGGAATGCAATGTGATGTGAGTGGAATGTGTGATTATGCTCAGCCCAGTGGCGGGTTGGGCCAGGCTCTCTTAGGTTTCAAAGAGAAGAGTCAAACAGAAATGCCTCAGAATGCAGGAGCCATGCAAAGGGATCACATCCCTAGGGCCAAGACTCATAGTTTTATTGGTGGCAGGGTGAAGTGGGGTGCTGGCTACCTCTGTGGAAACAACCATTTCCAAACCATAGGGAGAGGGATAGCAGACCTTTATGGTCTCTGGTTTTCCCATCCCACTACTTCCAGGTGAGGAGTACTCTTGAGGAGATATGGGGGATATTCTATTTGGGGCTGCTTCCCTGTTGATTAGACTTTACTGAGTCACAACTTTGAATTTGGGTAGTGGAAGTCAGTAGGAAAGAACAAATGCTTGCTTTAGTCTCATATTCTAAATTGAATAACAGGAGCATTGCATCATTTTCCATGTTTCTTAAATTCTGCCAACTAGAATCTCGGAAGCACTCTACTTGAAAGATACGTACTTTCATCGGACAACAGGGACTGTCCTATTACACTGTTGAATGTAACACTACACCTTATTTAAAATATAAATAAAGCGAAGTCCAAATCTTTTTTTTTCACCTTTCATTCATTGTCTCTCTTTTCATAGCCTCAGCATGGTGGGCATTTGTACTAGGCATTCCTTCTCTCAGGTCTGGTTGCCTGTTGAAAGCACCACTCATAAGAATATTGCGTTCTCCTCTGATCTGTCTTGTCAGCCATTTCTTCTGCCATTTTCTCTCTGTACATTTGGCCAAGGCTGCACAGAACTTCCCACCATTCCCAGGCACATGGTCTCTTCCATTCCTCCTTGCCCTTATATGTCCTGTCCCCTCTACATGGAATGCCATTTTCCATCACTTACCTCCTTCCTATCTCCCACTCTTTCCAGATGCAGCTCAAATCTCACTTTTGTAGCTCTATATGTTACCCTCACAATACTAGTCCTATTGCATGTTAGTTATCTATGCATCCCCCTTCCTACCCACCAATAGTAACTGTGGACCTCTTAGTAACAAATACTGTCCTAGACATTTTGTCTCTCTGAAGTTTTCATAGAGGGCTTAGCGTGTAATAATGCATCCAGTCAGTCAATCACTGAAAGGTCATGCCGTGCCTCCTATATGCTGAGTGTCATGCCAGTATTGTGGGAAACAAGGCCGCAGGCCTAGGGTCTAAACTAGTGCATTGTCAGTTATTAAATAAATCTCTGTATGACAGGAAGGAGGGTGGGAAGTCATTAGTGACCCAGCACACACCAGTTCCTTCATATCTAAAATTCTATGCATTTATATAAAAGGGTAACTTAAACTCCCCCTTCCTGTAAGAGTTGCTTTGTGTTCAGTAGAAGAGGAGGCAACCTCCTGACCATCAGGAATGGGAGCGGAACCCTCAGGACACTTGGAGGAAGTGAGGAAAATTGTGTCAGTGGAAGTCATTGATAAAGGTGACACTGTTGCTCCAGTGAAACACTGAGAATCCATCTTTTTGTTGAGACTTTTTTTAAAATATCTCTTGAGCTGCTGACTTCTAATGTTGTCTTTTTACAGAGGGGTGATTTCTGTGTCATCAAACGTGAAGAATACAATGGTAGATAAACCAGATATTGTCCTGTCCTCCTGAGCTTACACTCTAGTAGGAAAGATTTTAATTCAATAATTGGGTATAAATTATTTAATAATTATAATTGTGCAAAGAGCATCAAAGGAGAAGCAGAGCTTTCTGCTTTACAGTTGTAGGAAGTTGTATGAATATTGCACCCTTTTCTCTTGGTCTGCCTTCTGTTCCTAATGTAATGAGATACTTCCCCTGTCTTCTTTCTGTTCCTATTCATTACCTAAAGGTAAAAATATCTGATTTACAGGCATGTAGCAATATGTAAAACACAATGAAAATGAGAAATAATGAAAAAAAGGAAGAAGGAAGGGCTGGAGCTAAAATGGAACCAAAGATAAACTTCTACTAAAGATAAGCATATTAGTGAATCTTCATATATATATTCTCTGTGTCAAGCACACTGGTTTTTTTTATACGTGTTTGGTGAATTCATTTAATTGAGTCTAAATTATACTTGCTATAGTTAGGCCACTAGCTTTACCCTGGGGGATGATTATCAGGGGGAAAATGACTAGTTATCAAGTTAAATGTCTTTAATATTAAAAACAAACATATAATCAGGAAAAGTGAAATTTTTTATATCGAGATTGAAAAGTAATTTCTTCTGAGTGTCTTGATAAACAAAAACTATACAAAGGATCAAGTAATATTCATGACATGTTCTTTAAGTTAATAAACTTGCCATTTAATAAAAAAGGTGTGTATAATCAAAAGGCAGAGAGGGAGAGGGACACGCACACACACACAGACACACAGGAAGAGAGAGAGAGAGAGAGAAACAGAGAGAGATCTTCCATCTGCTGGTTCACTTTTCAAATGGCTTCAGCAATGGGCCAGGCTGAAACCAGCAGCCAGGTTTCTCACATGTGTGGCAAGGGACTGAATACTTGGGCCATTATCTGCTGCTTTCCCAGGCACATTAGCAGGGGGCTGGGACTTGAAATGGCACTCTGATATGGGATGCCAGTGTTGCTAGCTACAGTTCAACTTGTTATACCACAACACCAGGCCCAAATGGTGGTGTTAGCAGGTAGCCTGATCAGAAGTGGGGCTCCCCTGGGCAGCCCTTACAAACTGTCCTTTTTGTGGTGGTGTTTTACTTCATTGTTTTTATTGCTCCTGGTGGAATGAGCTGGATTTCACTGCAGCTGGGTGGTGAGGAAAGATGCTGAGCGGCCTTCTGGCTCCTCCTGGACCATCTGCAGAGTCAGGTGGTTTCCTGTTGAATGGCTCCTCCAAGTCTGTCTTCATATTACCTCAAACTCTAAACTGTCCTGAGCCCAAGAGGGCTCTTCTTTCTGTGTTCCTATTCTCTCTGTTACCATTAAGAAAGATGTGTTTTTGCAAGTTAGGATGTACCTGTCACCTCCAGGCCACACAGCTTTGCAGTCATTTTCCGAGGTTTGCCGCTGACCATCTTGTCATTCTCTGTGTTTGCTGCCTTTTTCTCTGTGTGGTATCTATTCACTTCTTTCGGTAACTCTTACTACTGTGGGAAACATGTTTTGTGGTTTTCTAAATATGGAGACTGTGCAGTTTTTGTTGTTGGTGGTGTTAACTATGCACGTTGTGCACGTCGTCTGGGAGAAGAGAAAGACACTGCCCTTCTCTTGACTGCTCCTTTTCTCCACCTCACCCTTTCTCTTCTTCCTCGGCTCACACATTGGGAACCCTCAGGCTGCTCATCTCTCTTAACTATCACTCCATTAATGTTTTTACATGAAAATATCCTGTTATATCCTAGGACTTCTTCATTTTGTAAACACATAATTTTAAAATTGGTACATTTTCCACTACTATCCTTTTAGCTTAGAATGTTCTTTCTTTCCTTTTTTTTTTTTTTTTTTAAGATTTATTTATTTGAAAGAGTTACAGAGAGAGGTAGAGACAGAGAAAGAGGTCTTCCATCCACTGGTTTACTCCCCAGATGGCCGCAACGGCCGGAGCTGCGCCAATCTGAAGCCAGGAGCCAGGAGCTTCTTCCAGGTCTCCCACATGGGTGAAGGGGCCCAAGGACTTGGGCCATCTTCCACTGCTTTCCCAGGCCATAGCAGAGAGCTGGACCAGAAGAGGAGCAGCCGGGACTAGAACCGGCACCCATATGGGATGCCAGTGCTTCAGGCCAGGGCTTTAACCCGCTGTGCCACAGTGCTGGCCCTTCCTTTCTTGATTTTATCTATTTTTGCTCATGCTTTAAGATCCAAAGACTCTGTGCCTTCTCCAGGAACCCTTCCTTGATACCTCTTCATGGCAGAATTAATCTTTTACCTGTGTTTCCACAGTTTATTGTCCCATCAAATGAACTTGTGGTTCTTAAATTAACAAGTCTCCCCTACACTAGTGTGTGCTAACCAGTAAAAAGGGAATTTTCTTTTTTTTTTTTTTTTTTAAAGATTTATTTTATTTATTTGGAAGAGTTACAGGGAGAGGTAGAGACAGAGAGAGAGGTCTTCTATCCGCTGGTTCACTCACCAAATGGCTGCAACAGTGGGAGCTGCGCCGATCTAAAGCCAGGGGCCAGGAGCTTCTTCCGGGTCTCCCACATGGGTGCAGGAGCCCAGGGACTTGGGCTATTTTCTACTGCTATCCCAGGCCATAGCAGAGAGCTGGATTGGAAGAGGAGCAGCCGGGACTAGAACTGATGCCTATACAGGATGCTGGCGCTTCAGGCCAGGGCTTTAACCCACTGCACCACAGCACCAGCCCCATGGAGTTTTCAAATGCTGCTTTTCTAGAACTTTGCTTCCCTTCATTTGCCCTCATGTGATTTCCTTACTCACTCAATAAAGGGTACAGTATTTTGATTCATCTCAACTTCCATATGAAACTTTTGCTCTCAAAATGATTTAATCATGCAAAAAGCAACTTCTACACTTGGGAAGTAACTGAAATGCCTCTAGATGTTATAACATTTGAAAAAGCTAGTAATCATTGATGGGCATTCTTCTGCATTCCAGGTGATGCGACGGTGACGATAGCTCACAGATATACCCCCAAAGAACAATTGAAGATCCACTCTCAGCTGGCAGATGTTATCATAGTAGCTGCTGGTAAGTCCTTAGTTGACTGTTATTTTTTGGGGGGTTGTAAAAAGCAGAGTAATTTGTGCCCTGATTGCTGACATGCTTGAAAGAACATTTTCTTGAGAGAGTTATGTATAGTTATGATTAACTTCTGGCAACTAGTGTGGGCCAATAATTGTAGCTATGGGAAAAAATAAAAAGAACTTTCCGACTTTCAAATTGTATTAATCAAAGTAGAATGTCTCAGAGAGGGGACGAGATGGACAACCACGATGCTGTACTAGCCACTAGACTACAGGCAAAAGTTAATGAATTACACCCTGTCCAAAGGATGATAATGTTTCCAACAAGGATGGCATACATTGTTTGATCTAATGAGCTGAAGTTGTTCACTCTGGAAAAAAGAAAGTACAAATTAAAGAAGATGCAATAGGTTTTTTCTGTAACATAAGAAAAAAAAGCCCCAAACCCTATCCTTTGTAATAAGAATTGTCTCAAAGGTACCAGTTCTTGAGATAATAAGTTCCCTATTACGTCAGTGATTAGAAGATAGATAAAATGTGAAATAATGTGCAGCATTCCTTGTTAGTTTTTACTAACAGTTATTCCTTTTAGATGACAAAAAAAATCCCATGCCCTCTTTTAACATTATTGAAGTATTTTAATAAAGTAAGAGTGACTAAAACCACATGTAAAGAATTGTAAGTATTTTGAGCATATATTCTATGGGGAAGGTGTTACATTTCTTCTTTACTCCCTACCACTTAGACCATTGTAGAGTGCATTCATGTATTGAGAACAGAGTTGAGCTCACTGAGTTGTAATATTTCCTTCAATTCTGAGATTTTGTTATTCTATATACTTAACAGATTTTTGTTATATATTTAAAGAGTGACAGAGAAAGAGAGATACAGACAGAGATCCACCATCTGCTGGTTCACTCCTCAAGTGACTGAAATGATTGGGTCTGGGCCAGTTTGAAGCCAGGAGCCAGGAACTCCATCCTGGTCTCCTAAGCACTTGGACTATCTTCCACTGCTTTTCCAGGTGCATTAGCAGGGAGCTGGATTGGAACTGAGCAAACAGGACTTGAACTGGTACTACAGTATGGGATTTTGGTGTCATAGGCTGTGGCTTACCCTGCTACACCACAATGCTGGCATCAATTATTCTAAATTTTAATGTGTGAAAGAAAGATTTGTGAAACATATGCATGTATCGTTTATGCTTATTATATAACAAAGATTGAATTTATTTAAATTTATTTGTGTTGTCCTACAGGGTAACTTGACAAGAAAGATGGTTCAGAATATAGAAAGGTTCAGAGTATAAAGGGGTTGTGGGGTTGTATTTAGATAATTCACTTATGGATATGTGAGAGTTTATTATATCATTCTGATCTTAGTTAAACATGAATACTTTTTTTTAATTTAAAAGAGTTGCAGAGAGAGAGAGTGAGAGAGAGAGAAAGAAAGAAAGAGGTCTTCCATCTGGTGGTTTACTCCCCAGGTGACTGCAATGGCCAGAGCTGAGCTGATCCAAAGCTACCAGCCAGCCAGGAATTTCTTCTGGGTCTCCCACGGGGCCCAAAGACTTGGGCCGTCTTCTACTGCTTTCCCAGGCCATAGCAGAGAGCTTGATCATAAGTGGAGCAGCCAGGACTTGAACTGGCGCCCTTATGGGATGCTGGCGCTGCAGGCTGGGGCTTTAACCCACTATACCACAAGGCAAGCCCCAACATGAATACTTTTGAAAAGCAGACAGACTATTAAATTCACCCATTCCTTCATAAAGCATGGGACTCTTACTATACAGCAAGAGCTTTCAATTGAATGCATATAGTAGTGCATACAAATGACAAAATTCCTGCCCTGCAGAGCTTATATTTTAGTGGGAGAGACAGTTAGTTGTTAATAAACAATTAACACAACATCATGTCAGGTGATGATAACTGTAATAATGGAATTGATTGAAGGAACAGTGTGTGTTGAACAGTGAAGATCTTTCTCAGGACATGACCTTTTGAGTAGGGTCCTTGTCTGATCTTTCTCCATTTACCCACCAGTTCCCATCCCCCACCCTCTTTCAAGTCCTGTTCTGTCCAGCTGCATTTCTCTGCCACCAGTGTCCAGCAAGGTTTGGCACCAGTTTGAGATTGGAGGGACAGGGAGGAGAAGGCCGGGTTAGGGTATTTCTGCTTTACTCCCTTTGCACTTCCTCCTGTGTGGATGGCGCCTGCCAGGGAACCCCTCTCCCATGGAGCTCTCTCACTGTGCTGCAGTGACATCCTTTCCTCTTCCTGTTCCTTGTGCCTTAGGCATGGTAGAAGCTTCTTCCTGTTCCTAATAAGTGCCTGAATTGCTGTTGCTTTTCTCTTAACCCCAACATACGCTGTGAAAGTTCCTTTACAAATGTCTCTTCATATAATGGTCAGAGGTGGATTCTGTTTCCTACTAGGATCCTGACAGATGCAGATTTTTATGAAGTGAAGGATCAAATCAAAGTAATACCTGGAGGAAGAACATTCCAAACAGAGGGAGCAGCAAATACAGAAGTCCTTAGGGAGGTGCATGCTTGGCATGTTGCAGATCACAGATATTTGAGAGTTTTTATTATTATGATTTTATTAAACATTAATAAATTATAAGGAAATTGGTAAGAAATACTGTTGAGAAGGTGGCCAGTACTAGCTCCTGTGGGAAATTAAGGACATTGCAATGACTTTTAAATTTTTACGTTTAATTTCATTTCATTTGAAAGGCAGAGAGAGAGAGGGAAATAGAAAGAGAGAACGGGGAGTTCCTCCATACTCTGGTTCATTCCCCAAATGCTCACATTGTCCAGGCTGGGCCAGGCTGAAGCTGGAAGGTGGGAACTCAGGATGGCGCCCCCAAGTGGTTGGCAAGGACCCAATTACTTGAGCCATCGCCTTTTTCCTCCCAGGGAACACATTAGGAAGAAACTGGAATTAGAAGCAGAGCTGGGACCAGAAAATAGGCACTTCATTATGGAATGCGGGTTCCCCAAGCAGTGTCTTAATTATTGCATCTATATCCAGACCTATAGTGAGGAGTTTGATATAAACCACCAGTGAATGAGAGCAGGAGCTGAACATGGTTTATCTTACGTTGTAAAAGTACACTGAGATGATGTCAAGGAGGACTGACTCTTAAAGGGGGAGTAAAAAACAGGAGTTACTGCAATTTCATTGAGTACATCTCAGTTTTTCCATAATTTGTTTTGTTTTCAAACATACAGAATGATTCTGTCTTTACTCTTCTCACATAGTATTTCTTCAATGCAGACAATTACTAATATTGTTGCTGTATCCAAGGCTTTACTGAGAACCTTTTTTTTTTTTTTTTTTTTTTTTTGACAGGCAGAGTTAGACAGTGAGAGAGACAGAAAGAAAGGTCTTCCTTTCCATTGGTTCACCCCCACAAATGGCCACTACAGCCAGCACGCTGCAGCCTGCATGCTGTGCTGATCCGAAGCCAGGAGCCAGGTGCTTCCTCCTGGTCTCCCATGCAGATGCAGGGCCCAAGCACTTGGGCCATCCTCCACTGCCTTCCCGGGCCACAGCAGAGAGCTGGACTGAAAGAGGAGCAACTGGGACAGAATCCGGTGCCCCAACCGGGACTAGGACCCAGGGTGCCGGCACCACAGGCAGAGGATTAGCCTAGTGAGCTGCAGCACCAGCCGAGAACCTTTTTCTTTTTTTTTTTAAAAAAAAAAACATGGAACACTTCACGAATTTGCGTGTCATCTTTGCACAGGGGCTATGCTAATCTCTGTATCGGAGAACCTTTTTCATACTGCCTATCAATTAGCTATCATTGAGGACTTTGAGATGAAATTAATTTTGGTGGAGAGAAGAATGATAATTTAATTAGTTTCAACCAGATTTAATTTGATTTGTGTTCTTATACAGGCTGTATTCTGGAACTCAGATTATAACTATGGTAATTCCTTATAGAATAAAAATAGAAATAGTCCCTTTCTCAGAAGTCATTAGTGAGCTAGTACAGCTAATTATAACTCAGTAATCATTTTCAGGTGGTATCAATGCAAATCTTTGAACTGGATTGACTGAAGTAAGAAATATGTAGAAAAGTAATAAACTTTTTCAAACCACAAATCTACATTAGGTGAAATACTGTTACAGCAACATAGGCATTTGTTGGATACAAATATTATAATAACTTCTTTTTACAAATTTGTATTTATATATAGGACTTGGAATTGGCGAGTGGAGAGGAATTTGAACACTCATAGTCTTCCATCTCTACCATTAGATAGAATGAAATTTAGGTTATCTTTAAAAACTATTATTCAACCTTAATGTTGACAATTTATGAAAAATATTTCACAGTTACTCTTAGTTCCCATTTGTCAATTATATTAGATGAATATTTTCTTTTGGTGGAAAAGAATCTCTCAGCATACATTCATGATCATATTTTTTATTATCATGAGAAATGGCAAATGAGTTATCCTGATGCTCTTGAGTGAACCACTGATATTATTTCATGACTAAATCGAGTCTTATGTCACAAGTCATGGTGCCAGTACTGCCATCATTCTCAAGCTTCTTCCATAATGCACAAATAAGAACTGAGTTCAAAGTATTAAGAAAGAAGGCAGGAAAATAAAAATCAAAATAAAGAGAGGTAAGGAAAAGTAGGACTGAAACCTAGAAAAATTAACAAAATAAAAGACAAGAGATACTCAGGCCCCCAAGTATGGTTAACAGTATTCAACTCTACCACAGCCATCCCATTGAGGATATGCTCATACCACCAGAGGGCGCCATTCAGGGGAGCAGCTCTTTGAAATACAGACCAATGTATTTGGCCACAGGGTCCTCATGGAAAAACATTCTGAGCAGACAGTGGGAATAGACTCCTGTTTGTTCCTTGTGACCCACTTTAATGCCTCTCACTGGATATCAAAGTCTGCTGAATGCTGGAAGACAGACTGTGTATAGCCCTGCAATCATCTTGGTCAGTGGGAAATTTCAGGGAAAA